GGATCATATAGTCTTACAGACGCTGCGCGGAACAAAGAACACATAGCCAACAGGACAACAAGACAGAAAGTTCGAGCTGGCCAGCTTACCTCCCAGTGATGTCGGGTGTCCTCCGGATAGGGATCGGGATCAGAACCGGGATCTTGGATCTCGGTGGAACCTCCAAAATGAAAGATCCACAGATCCCAAACCCAGAATGAACCACACGAGACACTGGCTGCAAAAAGCAGGAGGCGTTTATTCTCACACAGGTGCCTGCGGGTGCACAGCAAAACCTCAGCCGGAGCTTCGGTGAACTGGCACACCGGGCTTTGGGGTACAGATTTTTTTTATAGGAAACAAGCGGGTTAGTTCTTAGCTTAGCACAGCAACAGCCTTTCTATTGGTTCCTCTGAATCCAGCCACTGGGTCACCTAGGGGGTAAACTTGTTTTTTCACTTTATGCTCTCAGAAAAACCCTAAAATTACATCCTGTCTTTTCAGTTTCTGTTTTTAAACCTAGTTCTCAAGTTTAACCAGTAGGGCTGTCTAAGAGGAACATCTTGTGGTAGGGGGCCCGTTAGGGTTATCTACATGGAACATCTTGTGGTAACATTGTGCAACACCTGAGGTGCTACGTGCTGCTGGAGGGGTTTTGACATGGGGGTTGGGTGAGGAAGCGTCTTGCAGCTTTGAGGCCTAGGGTTTTGGTCACCTAATGCTGGGCCTGGGTCTTGAGGTCCTACACTGTAATCCCAGCAGCTCAGGAGGCTGAGGCAGGAGGATCACGAGTTCAAAGCCAGCCTCAGCAAAAGTGAGGCACTAAGCAACTCAGTGAGACCCTGTCTCTAAATAAAATACAAAATAGGACTAGGAATGTGGCTCAGTGGCTAAGTGCCCCTGAGTTCAATCCCAGTACCCACCCCCCAAAAAAATCAACAAGTATAATTTCTTAAAGCTTACTTGTAATGTGGAATGAATTGGACATTTACTAAATTAAAATCCATTTGTCTATTTTATATGTAAAATAAATCTTTACCCAGGTATGATTTTACAATATCACATATTAATCATTTGGAACATTGGCTCTGTGAGGTAAACAGATTCCAAGGTTGATAAATTGTATTATTTGTTATTACAGATTCATATTCACTAATATTACTATCAGTCTCATCATAAAGAACTAAGTATTGAGAAACTGTCACATTCACAGGGGAAATACTTTTTATTGTAATTCAAATTTTTTGCTTAAAATTAGCAAAAATTCCTGTCAGTTTTTAAAAAGTCAACTTTTTGGTGTGAATATATGTTGCCGCAGTCCGGCTGCAGCAAAATAACTGGGGGATGACGAACAACTTGTGTAGATTGATACAGCAGGAGTAGGAGCCGTTTAGTGCAGGACAGGAGCAGTATTTATACATTCCACACAGCTTATCTAATTAGCATAAACTAGATACAGCAGTCAACCAATCAAGAATCTCCACACTTAATGACTCGCTTTTGTTACTTCTCAAACCACTCCCTCTGGCATTTTGCCAGGCACCATCCAGACTTGTTTACGAACTCTAACATTCCCCTGGCAAAATGCCAGGTGTTATTTTGACTTGTTTATAGACTCTAACATTTCCCCCTTTTGTTTAATTTAAATAACGACCATAGTGGTTTTTACAGAAACACCATAAATAACCTGCTACAAACAGAAAGGGAGGATACAAAATGCCACAATACCAAGCCAATTGATGGCTCCATGCAAGAAGCCCTTGGAAAAATTATACCAGCAATGACACTGTTAGCAAAGATACCGAGTTACAATTTGTTATAGATTACAGTTTGTTGTCTCAGTCCAGGTAAAGCAGTGTCTCGATAGACACACTCGGCAGCCGCGTCTCCGCTTCACGCACCCTCCGGTAACGAAAAGTATTTAGTAATAGCCTTTTGCTGCAACTTTTTTCCTGATAATACTTCTTCTTCTGAACTTTCTTTTTCTTTCTGACTAGAGTTCCTGGGCTCTTATCAACACATGCCTTAACTATTCTTGGTTCCACTGGGGTGTCTTCTTCCCTTAGAAATTTACTTCTCACCCCTTCCATATTTTCATCACAAAGACAATACAATACACTGAGACAAAACAAGACACAAACATACTGTATCAATCTTTTCCATTTTCTCGAAATGGCCATTTTTCCTCTCGCCCTATCTGCCTAGGGACGAGCAGATTTGCTCCCGTCCTATCTATGGATGAGTAGCTTTTTTTCGTCACTTACCCCCGAGTGTCCCGGGGCTCCGGGTACAGGCCACCAATTGCCGCAGTCTGGCTGGGCACAAATCACGAGCCACTGAAGCAGGAACAAACTTTATTTTTGAACTGCAGGAAAACACTTCACACAGCTCCTGGGGAATCCTCCCGAACGCCACGCGGCTTGTCCAGGAACCCCCAGCCGGAAATATCTCTCCTGGAAATCCCTCCTCCTGCACTTCCCCAACCAATGGGAACTCTCGGGAAATCCCCGTGAGAACTCTAAAATAGTGCAAGAACCCAAAAATAGCGGCAGAGGCAGATAGTAATGCCTCGCCTGTCAATCAATACTGTTGGCAAAATGCCAGGGGCCATACAGACTCCGCCTTGGCTCTCAGCAATATGTAGTACTGGGCACTGAACCCAGGGCCTTGTGCATGCCAGGCAAGTGCTCTATCACTAAGCTACATCCCCAACCCCCAAATATCACTTCATTTTTGACCAAATGTCTACTGAATGTGTGTGAATCAATCTTTCAAATAAAAATAACATCCTTATTAACGTGGCTACTTCAGCTTACAACTCACATAAGTGTTTCCTTGAAACAACCTATTGTTCTTGAAGATATAGAAGAGCTTTGTGTGCATTTCCCATTTCATCACAGAAAATAGTTTTGAAAAGTACACATATCAGTATCTTGCTTGTGATACTGTAATGTGGAGTTTAAAGACTGGGCAAACAGCTGGTCATGGTGGCTTGCCACATGCCTGTAATCCCAGTGGCTTGGGAAGCTGAGGCAGGAGCATCATGAGTTCAAAGCCAGCTTTAGCAAATCAATGAGGCACTAAGTAACTTAATGAGACCCTGTCTCAAAAAATAAAAAGGGCTGGGGATGTGGCTCAGTGGGTTAGGTTAATTCAGGGGCACTTAACAAAAAATTTTTTTTAAAGAATTGGGCAGGGCTGGGGCTGTGGTTCAGCTGTAGTGAACTTGCCTGGCATGTGCGAGGCACTGGGTTCGATTCTCAGCACCACATATGAATAAATAAAATAAAGATCTATCAACAACTAAAAATATATTTTTAAAAATTGGGCAAACAGTACAAAGGATCTCTATATATAATTTCTTACAACTGCACATAAATCTACAATCATCTCAAAATAAAAACTGTAATTATAAAATATTGTATTCAAGGACTGATAAAAACTTGTATGCTTTATGGGAAACTTACTATTTTCTTTTACAGTGTTGGGGATCAAACCCAGGGCCTTGTGAAAGCTAGGCAATGAAGAGGAACTTCAGTGGAACTTGCCTTTTCTAACTCCAGTGTATGCTGGCGAAAAAATATCTCCCAGTACAGTTTAGTGACACTGCCTTGATTTATGCAAAGGCCCCCTTAGTTTCACTCACTATTGCTTTTGCACCATCAGTGCAAATTTCAGCACAGCGGAAAAAAGTATCATGAGTATAATTATGAAATTTGTTTTAATCATTCAAATCCCGGAAAAGGTCTCAGGGCTCTAGAAGTCATCTGACCATACTTAGATCTAATGACTGTTACATAATATTGAATTAAAATAGAATTAAATTACATTTAATTAGCAATTTTAAAACTCATTACCACCTCTTTTTTTTTTTAATGAAACCTTCTAATGGTGACCATAACTGTTGAGAGCCACAGCCAAAGGGGCCCCAGCAAACCTTTCAGACTGCCAGCTGATGATTGGCTCACAGTGGCCCCAGCAACATCTAGCTGATTGGTTCCTCTGCAGTGATGCTCATTGGGCTGTTTCCCTGCCCTTTCAGACCACGGTGCTGCTCATTGGGGGACTTTTTTGGCTCCGCCCATGCGACCCAGCCAATCGGCCTCAAGAGCAGGAGGATTGGGGGAGGTGGAGAGGCTTGTGGGTGTGGGAGAGGCTTGTGGGAAGCCGGTGGTGGCAGTTGGGCTCTGAGGGTTTTTCCTGAGGAGCTGTTTTGTTTGGCATGTGTGGTTCTAAAAATAAAGTTTGTTTCTTTTGACAAGTGGCTCCTGAATTGTGCCCAGCCAGACTGCGGCAATAACAGACATGGATTTAAATATTATTCATTGTTTCACACTGTTTACTATCCTTTCTTCAAAATTTTCAACATAGTATAGTCTCTACTTATCATGGGAGCAATGGATGCTAAGTAGTTGGCTCTGGGATACTTTTTTGCGTATAAACATTTAGAGTTGTCACCTTCAGTATCTTAAAGATGAGGCACTAGAAAATGGCCCTCTAAACCCATATTGGGGAGGTAAAACCCACAGAAGACTGTGAAGAATAATTATCTGAGGAACCAACATTAAATCAGCTATGCTGTCAGCCAAGTCTTTGTTCTCAGTTAGAAGGTCACACAGACTTCAAAAGACAAGCTCTAGTACTGTCATGAGGGTATGAGGGAAGGAGTGTTAAAGTGTCCTTGGAAAACAACACAGAAATAGTCTCCATTCCCTATTTAAAGGACTCCACAATAAAGCACGCCCACTAGAGAAGGCCAAAGCTCTTGAAAATGGGCCAGCAATCCTCCTTTAGATGAACTGGAAATGCAACTTTCACCAATACAGTGGCGTGCACACTACCGTCAATTGTAAGATGTCTCCTCTGTGGTGTTTTAGCAGTGGCTGACTGAAACCATAGTTCTGTGCATGTCCTCTGCTGTCTGATGAAGTGTGACATCTTGCTAAAGGCTTCATTACACTACTTATACACACAAGGTTTCTATCTTGAGTGTATCCTCTGATGAAAGATTTGACTTCCGACTAAAACACCCCACATTTCCTGCAAACATAAGGTTTCTCTCCTGAATGGCTCCTCTGGTATCTAATGAGGTGTGACTGCCAGCTAAAGCCCTGCCCGCACTCCCTGCACACGTGGGGCTTCCCCCCTAAGTGTGCCCTCTGGTGTTTAATGAGAGTTAACTTATCACAAAAGCCGTGCCCACATTCCCTGCAAACAAAGGAACCCGAGTGTGTCCTCTTATGCCTAAATAGGTTTGGCTTCTGCCTAAACCTTCTGCTACAATCTCTGCACATGAAAGGCTTTTCCCCTGAGTGTGTCCTCTGATGTGAAATCAAGGTTGACTTATCATTAAAGCCTCACCCACACTCCCTGCATACAAATGGCTTCTCCCCAGAGTGTGTCCTCTGGTGTATAATGAGGGTTGACTTCCTGGTAAAGCCTCACCCACACTCTGTGCATATAAAAGGCTTCTCCCCTGTGTGTGATCTCTGGTGTTTGTTGAGGTTTGACTTCAGGCTAAAGCATTGCCCACACTCTAAGCACACATAAGGTCTAACTCCTGAGTGAGTCCTCTGGTGTGTCTTGAGGTTTGATTTCCAGCTAAAGTGACGCCCACATTCTGCGCATATGTAAGGTTTCTCTCCTGTATGTGTCCTTAAGTGTCTGAGGAGGTGGGACTTCTGACTAAAACTTTGTTCACACTCTCTGCAAACATAAGGCTTTTCTCCTGAATGTGTCCTTTTATGTCTGATGAGGTGGGAATGCTGGCAAAAGCCATGCCCACATTCCTTGCAAACATAAGGCTTCTCCCCAGTGTGTGCCCTCTGATGTGTGACTAGGTTTGATTTTAGGGTAAAGCTCTGCCCACATTCCTTGCACATGAAAGGCTTGACTCCTGAGTGTGTTCACTGATGTGTGAAGAGGTTTGATTTCCAAGTAAAGCCTCGTCCACAATCCTTACACACATAAGGTTTCTCTCCTGAGTGTGTTCTCTGGTGTGTGATGAGGTTTGATTCCAGGTAAATCCTCTCCCACATTCCCTGCACACATAAGGCTTTTCTCCAGGGTGTGTCCTTGGGTTTTCGATAAGGACAGACATACTGCTGAAGCTTGGTCCCCACTCTGTGTACACGTACGGCATCTCCCCTGTGGGTGTCTTCTGGAGGCTAAGTAGGTTTGACTCCTTGATAAAGTCTGGCCCAAACTCTTCAAATTTGATTGCTTCAAATCCTGAGACTTCCAAACCATGCAATACTTTGTCCCTTTCCTCAAGGTCGGCCTTCTGTTCCAGGCTGGGCCTTATATCCACCATTGTGTTGCCTTCCTTGGACTTTACTGGATGTTCTTCACTTGGGTTTGTAAGGGTCCGGCGAAGCGTCGGAGAAAGAGACCACCAAGAGACCACTCATGCAATTGGCAGAAGGGGATTTATTGATCTAGCATGCTAGGGCTCCGTGCCCACTCAAGAAGGGAGAACAGCCCAGAGCCCTGTGCAGGGGCTGAGCACTGCTTAAGTACACTTTTTTGGGGAGGGCGGGGATTTTACATGCATCACAGTCTCCTTTAACAAATCATCATACACCGCGGGAAAGTCAAACAATAATTCTTAGACTTGATTAGTACATACATTGGCGGGAACAGGTCAGGCTGGAGTGATAGGTCATTCCTAAGGAGGGGGTTACATTCAAACTGATTGGTCCAGGCCCTGCAATGCCTACTTGACAAGCTGCACAGGGTCTTGAATGCTATAAATCAACTAAATAGCCAGTAGGGCATTGTCTTAACTGCCTCAGGAATTTTACCCAGCCTTTGCAGTTTAGAAACTTTACAATGCCCGGTCTTTTACACTTTAACTTCAATTTCTTTTACCCTTACAGGTTGGAGGACGACTTTGATATGTCATTTTTACTTGTGCCCCCAAACAATGGCTTGGAGTCTTGTTCTCTCTCTTGAATTTTTGTTTTGTCAGTCAAGCAGGATTGATTAAAGGGTTGTTCCTGTGTTTTTTTCTGATATTCTGGGTACTGATTCCCTGGGTGGAGATGATTTCCTGCATATAAACTTGAAAAGAGCTGAGGCAGATGACAGCTGCAGTGGACATTGGTTTCTCCTTTCCATTATAAATCAAGTGAGCCCCTCTAGTAGCAGCTAATGACTTGGTGGCCTCACAGTAAGCTACCACATTAACAACTAAGCTAGTCAAACCTCAAATATCACACATGTTGGCTAAGGACTTGCTGACTGGAGAGTACCAGAGGGCAGGAAGGACAAGGTTGAATTTCTAACTTTGATCCTGCTGAATAAAGAACATTTTCAGAGAAGTCATAAGTAGGGCTGCCTAGGCCATTTTGCCATGTCCACTGGTGATTCATAATATTACAAGCTATCTCCCAAGTAGAAATCCATCATAAGACCTATTTTTTATTTCTCTTTATGCATTACATTTTCTGTTGCAGGAGTTGGCAAACTCATCCAACAGGCCAAATCCAGCTTGCAACCTATTTCTGTGGGCCTCCCAGCTCTAAAAAAATTAAAATAAGCTGGGTATGGTGGTACATGCCTTAATCCCAGTGGCTTGGGAGGCTAAGACAGGAGGATCGCAAGTTCAAAGCCAGTCTCAGCAACAGCAAGATGCTAAGCATAGTGAGACCCTGTCTCTAATTAAAATACAAAACAGGGCTGGGAATGTGGCTCAGTGGTTGAGTGCCCCTGAGTTCAATCCCCAGTACTTAAAATAAATAAATAAATAGAATTCAAATTATCTTGGGGGAGGAAAGAAGACAATCTGACAAGATTGTATGTGGCCTTAAAAGCTTAAATATTTACTACATAGCACTTTATCGAAGTTTGACATCCATACGATTATAATGTAGAAAATTCATATCAAGAGCTTTTCACATTATCACATTATTCTGGTACTGTTCAGCAGTACCAGAAATCAACCAAAGACAAAAATAAATCAAGACGTGTTTATTCATGAAAAACACTGAACTCAGGTAAGAATAAGAGTTTGCTACATTATTGCTATAACTGTATATTTAATCATCTGGGGAGCACTAAAACAGACATGTAGACCAATGGTACAGAATAGAAGACTTAGAGACAATGGTACAGAATAGAAGACTTAGAGACAAACCCACATAAATACATTATCTCATACTAGACAAAGGTGCCAAAAACATACATTGGAGAAAAGATAGCCTCCTCAACAAATGGTGCTAGGAAAACTGGAAATCCATATGTAGATGGCTGTCACTCCATCCTAGCTTAGTTGTTAATGTGGTAGCTTACTGTGAGGCAGGCCACCAAGTCATTAGCTGCTACTAGAGGGGCTCACTTGATTTGTAATGGAAGGGAGAAACCAATGTCCACTGCAGCTGTCAATACAAGTTAAGGTCTAGGTAGTAAATGAACAGGGAAGACAAGCAACTGCTTTCTGAGGATTACAGTCTTGAAGAAAAAAATTGATAGACTATCCAAAATTTAACAGGGAGACCCTGAAAATGAGACAACAAGAGAGAGGCTTGACAAACCCTCCACACAACCCTGGCATTAGAAAGCTGTGGGCTGGGTGGGCCTGGGCTCTCCACACATCCCTGCCTGACAAGGAAATGACAACCAGGGTAAAGGGAAAATAAGAGGGCTCAGTGGAAAGTAGAATGCCAGGAAAGACACCCCCTCCCCAGTACTGGGGATTGAACCCAGGGGTGCTTTACCACTGAGCTATCTTCCAAACCCCTTTTTATATTTGATTTTGAGATGGGGTCACAATAAGTTGCTTAGAGCCTCACAAAGTTGCTGAAGTTGTGATCTCAAAGTTGTGAAGCTCCTGCCTTAGCCTTCCAAATTGCTAGGATTACAGGAGAGCACTACCATGCCCATCTCAGGAAAGATTTAAAACAACCTGACCTTTGAATTTTCTCCCCAACCCACACATTTAACCATAAATATAGATAGGAAGCCTTTCTAACTCAAAGTCTTTGAGTACGTATATGGCCAATTCTTACAGATCACTACGTTCTGCAGTTACAAGACTGACATCAAGGAAGCAAGAATTAACACTACCCAGGCGTGGTGGTGCACACTGTAATCCTAGCAACTAGGGAGACTGAGGCAGGAGCATTCCAAGTTCAAAGCCTCAGCAATTTAGTGAGTCAAAAAGGGGTGGGGGGCGGGCACCAGAGATACAGCTCAGTGGCAAAGCACCCCTGATTCAATCCCCAGTACTGGGGGAGAAAAAATATATATACACATATATAAAACAATCAAGCAAAAGCATCATCTTCACAGAGGAAACATGTTTCACAGATTTCATCTAGAAAAGTTAACTAAAACAAACAAAAAGCAGCAAAAACAATCTTCAGCCAGGAAATATATTCAGGTACCAGAGGAATTATAATATACTATCTAAAACATCCAGTTTAACATAAATATGTTGAAAGAACTAAAACAATATGTGAAAAATTAAAGCAAAGTATGTATCAATGACTCAATAAGAAGAGAACCTTCCTAAGAACAAACTATTAAAAAGAAACAAAAGGAAATTCTGGAATTCAAAAGCAACACAACTGAAATTACAAAATTATTAGGTATATACAAAAGTAAATATTTAAGTGTGCAAAAGAACCAGTGAACTTGAAGACAGATCCACAGAAATGAACTAAACTGAAGAAGAGAGGAAAACAAAGATTAAAGAAACCAAAAGCCTCAGAATAAGATGCCTATAAGCAACCAACCTATATGTGATGGGCACTCAGGAAGAAGAGAGAGAAAAGATCAGAGAAAAAAACTCAACAAAAAATAGCTGAAAACTTCCCAAATTTAATGAAAAAAAAATTGGTCTTTAAATCCAAGAAGTTCAATCAACCCCAAGTAAGATAAACATAAAAAGATCCAGCTAGGGATGGTGTTGTGGCTAGCACTTGCCCAGCACTTGTGAGGCACTGGGTTTGATTCTCAGCACCACATAAAAAATAATCAAATAAAGGTATTGTGTCCATCTATAACTAATAAAAATAATTAAAAAAAGATCCCAGCTAAAGATATCATAGTCAAAGTGTGGGTGAAAAAAAAAAGAGAAAATCTTAACAGAGGAGCAAAAGAAAAATGATTTAACATGTACATGAGGAAAAGCCAGTATAAGTCATGTTTCAGCCAAAATGCCAAAGAAGAAAAGGTGAGGCAGGCAGGCCATGGAGAAGAAGAATCAAAGGCATCTAAATTAAAAAGGAATAGGTAGGGCTGGGGATGTGGCTCAAGCAGTAGCGCACTTGCATGGCATGCGTGCGGACTGGGTTCGATCGTCAGCACCACATACAAACAAAGATGTTGTGACCGCCAATAAATAAATAAATATTAAAATTCTCTCTCTCTCTTAAAAAAAGAGGAATAGGTAAAACATTCTTTTGCTTACAGATGATAAGACCTTGTATGTACAAAATTTCAAACAAGCAAACAGAAATAATTGTGTTTAGTAAGGTCATGTGATACAAGATCAATATACAAAAATATACAAAAATATTTCCATATACCAGCAATGACTATTCCAAAAATGAAATTGAGAAAACAATACCATTCACAATATCATAAGATAGTAGAAAAAATAATAAGGAAATGACAAAAGTAGCAATAGATTTATAAACCATAAATCCTAAATAAAGAGAAAGATACTCATGGATTACAAGACTCAATCTTATTAAGATGGTAGTTCTCCCCAAAACTGATCTATAGGTACAGCGTAATCCTTATATCAAAACCACAGGTGGCCTTTTGTTTTCCTATTAATTGACAATATGACTCTAAAACTTATATTGATATTCAAAATACATAAAATATGCAAAGCAATGTTGATAAAGAAAGCTAAGGGAACTGAGGTTGTGGCTCACTGGTACAGCACTTGCCTGGCATGTGTGAGGCCCTGGATTCCATCCTCAGCACCACATATAAATAAATAAATAAAGTGAAAAATCCATGTGCAACTAAAAAATATTAGAAAAAAAAAAGAAAATTAAGGAACTTAGACAATCCAACTTCAAAACTTAATATAAAGCTGGGCAATGAAGATAGTATCATAAGGAGGAGGTGTCATAAGAAGGATAGCTTCAGTGGAAAAAAAATTGGAAGACCAGAAACAAATCTCTAGATTTCTAGTCAACTGATTTTTTAATCAATTGAAAGGTGCCAAGGTAAATCAGTGGGGAAAGAGAATACTCTTTTTAAACAAAGAATGTCAGGACAATGGAATATTCACATGCAAGAAAATAAGCTTAGACTCTCATCCCCACATAATATACAAAAAGTAACTCAAAATGGATCATGGTACTAAATGTAAGCACCAAAAGCATAAAACTTCTCAAAGAAACCAAAGAAGAAAGAAATTTTTTGTGATCTGAGTTAAGTACAAAATTCTTAGTTAGAAAACCAAAAACACAACATATTTAAAAATAACAACAACATAAACAGCAATAGGGGCACAATGGAAGACCTTGAATAGCATGCATGAGGCCTGGTTCCATCCTTAGTTCCACCAAACAAGACCAAAAAACCCTGATAAATTGGATTTCATCAAAATTTCAAACTTTTCTGTTTGAAAAGACATCATTAGAAAAGTGAAGATAATCTACAAACATGGAAAAATATCTGCAAAGGGGTGAGAAAAAAAATAGGAAGAGATAACCGAGAAACTGACTCTTAAAGAGCCACATGGAGTAAGATCTATAAATCAGCATTTTCAACTGAATATATTCTACAAACAGCTCAGAGGGGAGGGAGTAAAGAAGACTTATGGATCTGAAATACCAGAAAACCAAAAGGCCAGAAGAATAACTGAGAATTACTGAATCCTTAACAACAAAGAAACCACTAAAAGTGTAGCCCTAAAAACTGCATGTGGTCTCTGCCCAAATCCTCAGATGAAAGGCAAATTACGTAGATATGTGAGAGATTGCCAGAAGGCCAGCTAAAAAAGAAGCTATTTAAAGCAACAGGAACAAAGCAGGAATACCAGCTGTTACATATTGCTGAGGAGACCAAAGTTTACATTTCGAATTCAGATGAGAAACAGAAAAGTGTTGACCATATGATGGGGGAAAAAGTGGACAAGGGAGTGGGTCCAGTTGTTAAATTTAGCATACAAAGATTTCAAAGAAGCCATTGTATTTTCAACTAACTAAAGAAAATTATATTCAAAGAAAAAAGGAAAATAGGTTATCAATATTAGAAAACATATAGAATTATAATAGAGAAATTGACACATTTTTTAAAAAAGAAATTACCCAACTGAAACAAACAATAACTAATTTAAGAATTCACTTGAAAGGTTCAGTAGCAGACTGAAAATGGAAGAAGAAGGATTAGTAAATATGAAGATGAATAAATAGAATTTACCTACTCCGTTCCAAAAAAAGAGAGAGAAGAGATTGAATAAAAATGAACAGAAGTTGTAAGAAAGTATTCACTTTCAGAAATGTATGGGCAACATATAGTAGCCCAATATACTGGTAAACTGGAGTTCTAGAATGAGAGGAGAATAAAAGGGGCAGAAAATACATTGAAATAATTGCCATATATTTTACCAAATGAGTAGAAAACCTAACTTACAGATTCAAGAAGCTTCATAATGCCCAGGTAGTGACAACACAAAGAAAACTATCTCTAAGAACATCACATACTATTGAAAACCACTGTTGAAAAGATCGAAAACAATCACAGAAGATAAATTACATATAAAAGAAAAACTAACTATATGATAACTTCTCAAAAGATATTATAAGTTCCAGGCCAGTGCAGAAAACTTATCAAGACCCTGTTTCAAACATAAAATTTTTAAAAGGGCTGCAGATATAGCTCAATGGTAGAGTACCTACCTACCATGTATGAGGTCCTGAGTTCAATCCCTAGTACCACCAAAAATAACAATGAAATCAAAAGTTGGTTCTTTGCAAAGATACATAAAATTAATCTCTAGCTAAAATGGACAAGCTGAAATATACAAATTTTAAAAGTTGATATAAAAAGAAACAAAGAATAAAATAGTCATATATCTATTAAGTAAATAAAATCTGAAATTTAAAATCCTCCCTCAAGGAAAACCTCACTGGCAAATTCTATCAAACATTAAAGAAAGAATACTAATTCTAATAAACTTTCAATAAAACAAAGGAAGGATACCTCTGACCTCATTTTATGAAGTTACTATTACTTTCAAATCAAAACCAGACGAACACTTAAGGAAACTACCAATCAAAATCCCTCATGAACACTGATAAAAATTCTTAGCAAAACATTTGCAAATCAAACTCAATAAAATTTTTAAAATATATATAATATGATGAAATAAGGTTTACTCCAGAATGAAAGGCTTATTCAGCTTTCAAAAATCAATCAAGGGCTGGGTTGTGGCTCAGTGGTAGAGCGCTTGCCTAGCATGTGTGAGGCACTGGATTCAATTCTCAGCACCACATAAAAAATAAATAAATAAATATATTGGGTCCATCTACAGCTAAAAATATAAAGTATTTTGTCCGCCTAGTAAAAAAAATCAATACAAATTGACCATATTAACAAACTAAAGAAGAAATGCCATATTATCTCCTAAAGCAAGGGTCTGAGATTTTTTTTTCTTAAAAAGTCAAACAACATACATTGGCTTGTGAGCCACACAATGTTTGTTTTAAATACTCAGCTGTACTGATAATATGAAAGCATTGAGAGACAACAAGTCAATTAAATGGGTATGGCTGTTTTCTAATAAAACTTTATTTATATGAACTCTATTTACAAAGAAAAAACATTACCATCCCACTGAAGTGGCACCCCCTTTCTCCACAGAAAAGCCCTCTTCACCATGGCTAATTTAAGGACTATCAGCAAAAGAGTCCATTGTAGATAAACTTCCTATTTTCATATCACCCTGTTTACTTGGCCACTGGCGGAGAAGATACCAGCACTCCAGGTGCTGGACACCCCCTTACTGGTTTTCACAAACATATCCAGTATAGTACTTTGAAGAAATGTGCAAACAAGGCCTCTGGGCCTTGAGCTGGGTTCACAGAGATGTCTACATTTTTAAGATAAGTTACAAATGGGCCCATGGTAACAGCTGGCAGGGGGAGGAAAGAAAGGGGAGATGAAGCTCTCCCCTTCTCAGGTGTTGTCCTTGAAGAGTTAACTTGCCCAGAACAGTGAAAGCAAAAGCTGCTTTTATGTGAACTTCTGCAGACTGTGAACTTCTGAGCCTCTCCCCTTACACACTGGGTATAAAACTCTGAAACTCCCTGAACTTGGGAAGCAGGGGATTTATTGATTACAGGGCTGTACCCTCTGAACCTGGCTGCAACCAAATAAAACGGTTTCCTGCTATCTTCGGTGCCTTGCTTCGTTTGTCCCTACAACACCACAGGTCTAATTTTGTGACTTCTGATCTAAATAAAAACATAACAGTCATGTGAAAAAATTCAACACTCATCCATGATTAAAAAAAAAAAAACTCAACAAAACAGGAACAAAAGGGAAATACATCAACCTGATAAAAGTAACATCATACTATATGATGAAAAAGTGAACTCTTGCCACCCAAGATACAGAACAGGGAAAGAATGTCCACTTTCACAACTTCTATTCAAAATTGTACCAATGGTCCTAGCAATTGCAATAAGGGAAAAAAGAGATAAATGGTAATAAAAAGATAAAGAGGGAAAGATGGAAGGATGAAAGAAGGGAAGAAAAGGATGGCGGGAGGAAGGATCAAAAGCACGCAGTATAAAAAGGAAGAGCAAAACTGACTTTTTATTCATAGATGACATGACCTACACATGGAAAATTCTAAGAATCTACAAAAAATACTATAATTAATAAGTGAATTAATCAGAGTGACAGGAAACATGGGCAATATATAAATAATATTCTTGCTATACTAGCAGGGAACAACTGAAACTCAAAATTTAAAATACATGGGCTGGGATTGTGGCTCAGAGGTAGTGCGCTCCCCTAGCATGGGTGGGACCCGGGTTCGATCCTCAACACCACATAAAAATAAAGGCATTGTGTTGTGTCCATCTACACCTAAAAAATAAATAAATAAATGTTTTAAATAAAATAAAATACAATTCCATTTTGAATAGCATATAAAAACATGACAACATGAATATAAATACCTAGAAATAAATGTACCAAAACATATGCAAAATATTTGTACCATGTTTTAAATTATTTTATGAGATGCTCAGTCAGGTATGGCCAAAAGAAAATACAAAGGAGAGGATCAGGAAAAAAAATAAAACAAAACAAAAATTTTTAAAGTTTATTATATTTACAAGTTCCAGAGAAACCGAATTGGGCATTATAAATCCCTAACATTGTTATAAATAGGCATTATAAACCCGTAAACAGTTCTCTTTTGGCAGGACATCAGGAAGGTATGTGATACAATCTGGAAATAGTTAGATTATGTTTTATTTCTTAAACTAGAGTGCTGGCACATGAGAATTATTTTATTATTATTCATAGCTTTCTATAATCTGGAGAAGTAGAGATAATCAGTTATTTTTAGTATAAGAGAAAACAGAAAGTATCCAGAAGTGTCACGAACTGTCCATGGGCTGTGTGTGGATTGTGTTGTGCATAGTAGCCTCTTGAGGGGATAGGCCTGCACTGCCAACACCCTGTCAGAGACTGATTGCATGATGCAGGTGTGCCTCCCCCTCTAGCTCTGCCTAAGATCCCACACAGCACCTGAGATCAGTGTGACTCACCAAGATGTCAATCAATCTGCTGACCACAAGAAATCATGAAGCAAGACTCCACCCTTGAAAACTTATTCCTCTCTGATCCCCCCCATAAAATAAAGGAAATGCAGGCTCATGCTCTTTCCAGCGCTCTTTCTAGCCCTTTAAGGTCACAGAGCCATCCTGCCCTTGGTTTAAAATCTATTTTCGCTGCTTTCTTAGCTTAATGTTGCTCTTTTAAACCCAGTTCAACTCGTCTTCATGGGTCGTAGTCGAGACAAAATGTTGGTAGATTTAATGTCAATGAGGTAGGTACAGTTTTTAAGATCCAGAGGAAAGAAAAAAAAAGACTATGAACATGGAAAGCATTATAGAGGAGGCAAGACAAATGAGGAAGGGAGGTTTTCAGGAGGAGGGAAGAGATCCTCCCTCAGAAAAGTCCCTCCCCAACTGAAGAGTATATTCTGCAAGGAAACCAAAGCTACAAAGCCTTACCAGTGGCCTAGAAGGCCTGCAGATGAGCTTCTTCTCAGGATCTGAGAAATGTCTCTTCCTTCTCTATCTGCCAAACTGTATGCTAGATAGATGTAAGCATCTATCCCATGCTCACACTCACCTGGACAGAGGTCCGGCAGATGTTTTCTCACCTCTCTCCAGGGCTCTTCCCCTTGCTCTAGCTGAGTAATGAGTTTTTGTTTGGAAAATGCAATTTCAGTTCATAGAGAAGAAAACAAGGAGATACTTGATTATGAGAACTCACAAGGTTACAAAAGACCTATGATAGTTAATTATTCAAAGTAGGAAAGCTGAGTGAGGAAAGGCAGTTCCAGAAATGAATCATACTAAAGATAAAGTAAAAAGAGAGCCAAGCCTTGGGAAAGAGGCCTGGAAATGCATGAGTGATATCATACATAATATGAGTAAATCAAGCTATCTGCTTCAACTCTATTAAATCTATATTTACTAATAAAGTAAAAAAGGTAAATCACTATTTTTAAGCGCAACCCAAAAGAATAATTTCTCATGACACATGAAAAATATCATGTGGGACAAATTTTAGTGCTAAGGGACGTCATACTTACCTAATGATATCAGGTGGCTATAATTCTCCAACATCACTTCCCTGTGTAGGATCTTCTGAGCAGGGCTTAACAACCTCCACTCCTCTTGGGAGAAGTCCACAGCCACATCCCTGAACACCACAAAAGCCTTTAACAAAAAATACATCCCTGTTTTATCCAGGAGCCACCTTGCCTGAAGCTTAGAATGAGAGGTCAAAAGGCTCCCTAAAGCTAGAGAACTACTCAGTGGTCCAAAGCAAAATGCTGGCTATAAACTGTGTTTAAAAGAGTCATTACTCTCCTCTCTCCATGTCTCAATTTCCTTATAAGATCGATATTATAATAATATTTAACTTACAGGGTCATTATCCAAATATCCTATAACTCTGAGGGAAATGAGCCTGGATGAGGCTGACACGTGGGAGAACAAAATGGAGAAGTCAATGAATGCCAGACCTTGGTAAGTATATAGAACTACAGGACCAACCTTAAGGTGTGCCCTCTCTCTGGACTTCCTTCTATATGATCTAAATTATTATTTTTCAGCCTAAGTGGGGTTTCCTATTGCTTCCACTCAAAAACATCCTATTGGTTGACTGTTTCAGTGAAGACCTCCAGTGAATCATACCTGTCTCTACCAATTTATGAATTTTCCCTCTAAAGTAACCCTGGGCTTGATCACGTGATTTGGTTTATGAAATGGGACATTAACAAATATGATGTAAGCATTACTTTAGAGTGTTTGGTTTGGGGACTGGCTTTCATTCTTTCTGTGCAGGATACCTGGAGACCATCATGTGAATAACATTAGCTTTTCAGTGAAAAAGGCCACATGGAGAACCAAGAACTGAAGCAACCCAGCCAACCAGCCTGTCAGCTTCGAGACACGTGAGGTCGCCCAGCTCCAGCTCAGGAGCCAGCTGACTAACCACATAAGAATCAGCCCAAATGTGCTAGGCCTATTTGCTGACCAACAGAATTGCAAACTAATAAATGGTTTCATTTTAAGCCACTAAGTTCTTTTTTTTTAAAGGAAGGAATTTTTTTTAATACCTTTATTCTATTTATTCATTTGTATGTGGTGCTGAGGATCAAACCCATGGCCTCACATGTGCTAGGTAAGCACTCTACCGCTGAGCTATTGCCCCAGCCCCAGCCACTAAGTTCTTTAAGCCCCTAAATTGGTGCATAGAATTGAACTGCTTCCATAAAAAAAATACCTAAAACATGTGGCATTAGTTTTGGGAGCCTGATGGGGGCAGAAGCTTGGAAAACTGTTATCGCAGGTTATAAAACTAGTAAACAAAATGTTAGCAGAGACTGAAAAAGTAGTAAAGACACTGCTACAGTAGTTTGAAAAAAGGTTGTTATATATACAGTAAAACTACTGCTGCATGAACTTGGGAAAAAAGAATATATAACTGATGATCTCTCAGATCTGGCTAAGGAAATCTCCAGAGAGCCAGCTGAAAATTTCAGCTGTGGGCTGGGGATGGAGCCCATATAATAATGTATAGAAATAGAAGCATTGTAGAATTATTATGGAATTAGTAAGCTAATTTAGAGGAAAATATAAACATGACAGGACTTGCTAGGTATATTAGTTCGGCTTCACATTACTATAACAAAATACTTGAGGCAATTCACTTAAAAAAGGTTTATTTAGCTCACAATCCTGGCATTTCCAGACCCAAATCAGGTGAAGAAGCCTTAGTCTCCTTGAGTTCAATCCCCAGTACCAAAAAAAAAAATCTATATTAAGGAACATGTTGATTATATGACTCTTCCGGCTTAAGAGTATGAGAGTGAAAAAGGTAATAGGAAAAATCAGCTGACACAAACTTTTGGCTTTTCATAGTACATCAGAACATTTCCTTATTAATAGTAAATGAGTGGTTAAGATAGCACATCCAGGGCTGGGTTTGTGGCTCAGTGGTAGAGCGCTCACCTAGCACATGTGAAGCCCTGGGTTCAATCCTTAGTACTACATAAAAATAAATAAATAAAATAAAGGTATTGTGTCCAACTACAACTAAAAAATAAATATTTTTTAAAAAGATAGCACATACATAAAAGATTCAATATTATCTTGGAAAATTTCTGAGTGGGATTTCTTATGCGTTCTTGGTGTTAACACTTTCAAGTGAATGAAATATTTTACAAACAAGAAACACTGAACTCTCAGTGTTGCTCTGAAAACATGTAGGAACATATAAATCTCCACCAAAGGAGTCCAGGATTAAACTAAATACAAATCTCTTTTCTATGTAGATTTTACTCTCATTGGCTGATAAGCATAGTCAATTAGCCCATATCAAAAATGATAGTAAGTCATTCTGGTAACTATATCCATATTCAATAAATCTTCATTTAATTAAGTCAAGGTCATCCTAGTCACCATTCTCAAGAATTAGAAGGCATCCCCTAAATTCCTATAGTCCGCCAACCACTATTTTCCCACATACAACTGATTTTCTGATGCTGAGTCTCTTCGTAATATCCTTCAAAACCCAGCTTACTCAAAGACAAAATCTATACTCCTCAGCCTGGCACAGGGAATTCCGTTTGATCTGTCCCCACTCAAACTCATGGTGGAGGAAAAAATTTCTCAGAGACCAGGGAGGTTATAAAATGAGAGAGGCATGCAAAAATATTACCTTGAGAATGATTTTAACCTCTGTATAGAGAAGACTATAGGAAGTGCCACAAATAGACCCTACAGGTTCTGTCCAAATGATGAAGATAACATCCTGGTAAAACTTCCTGACACCAAAAGACAATGCAGGTTTAGGGCAGATATTTTTTAAAATATTTATTTTTTAGTTGTAGGCAGACACAATATCTTTATTTCATTTTTATGTGGTGCTGAGGATCGAATCCAGTGCCTCACCACTAGGCATGCACTCTACCACTGAGCCCCAGCCCCAGCCCTAAGGCAGATTTATTTTTAGAGAAGCAGGACCTCCAGAACTGCCCATGCCAAAAGTGCTCTCATATGTAAAATTCAGTTCATACCATATCAAATTCCTCCTGCTCCATGTGTGAATAGCTAGTCTCTATCACATATATTTTTAAATTAACCTTAAATAGGTCTATTGGCTACTATATTCCTTCCACACTGGGGCAATGGTAGTATGCCCAGTGGCCCTGTCTCTGAAACAAACTATGCTTCTGGTCCTCTTCCCCCCAGCTCTCCAATTTACCAAACCCCCCAGCTACAACTCAGACAGTCCTACTTCTCCTCCTTAACCGCTCAGGCCACAGGTGTCTCTGCTGTTCCCGTTTTTAATCCATATCACTGGACAACTGCGCTTGGATGTCCCTGTATTATTATTGAAACTGCTGTGTGTGGTGTTCACATTAACTTGAATGACTGAGCAATGGATGCAGAAGAAGGGTATGCTAAAGGAAGACACCAGGTATGAACCACTTTTCATTTTCAATGAAATTTGTCAGCAAGGCAGCCTCCAGGGCAATAAAAATAAAAATAAAAGTGGGGCAGCAGGGATCCTGATGACAGCCAAGATGTAATTACAGATAATTCTCACCTCTTTTTTGGCTCTCAGGAGCCCCGTGGCCATTTTCCTGGTCTCCACAGTGCTCCCCCTGTTGAGTGTCTAGGTGGAACCTCCCTCCCAACGTGTTAAAAAGGCATCTACTCCAAAGCCCCACAATTAGAGGTCGGAGATGCCACAGAAATCAACAGCGCAGCCAGTTCCAACCCAGAAATGGAGAAAGGGGGTCTAGGATGCCCCAACACTCTCATGCTCAGCTCCAAACTGACCAGAGAGTGAAGCCCTTGTCCCCAGCAGTGCAGTGAGTTTGTCTCTAACCCTATGGGCTTCAACGATGGAAAAACGGCACGGTGTGCCTACAGGAGAGCGCTCTCCCAGTTTGTCTCCGTGACTAAAATGGGGGCAAGCAGAGACTCGTGCTGACTAGACAGCACTCGCGGAACGTGGGGTGCACGTCACGGATCCTGAGGCCGAAGCTCGAGGAAATAAAGGGCAGACACGCGGGAAAAAAACGAAACAGGGAGCCCGGCCCAACCACAAACCAGCCCAATGGGCCTAACCAACTGGCCGGAAGTGCCTCTGTAAGTAAGCACTACGTCAGAGGGACGGCAGTAAGAGAGGACGGAAGTGACCCCAGAGGCCTCTGGGAAGTGTAGTTTTGGAGAGAGGCGGAGGGCGTGTTGGCTTCTACCTGAATTCTGAGATACTTCAGACCCACTTTCGCCGCTCATACAATCAAGTTTAGAAGCCCCTTGTTAAAATTCACTGGCCGCGAAGTTCACAAGTGTCTTCTCCCAAGTTCCAATTAGATCTGGTATTTTCAGGATAGCAGGATTGGCTCGGTCCCAACTCCAAGAATGGGGTTGGGAGAAACTGACTGGTGTGGTCCCAGGATTTTAGGTGAAAGAATTCCCCACGCAAAGACAGTTCACCGGGAGAATTCCAATTTTATTGCAAAAAGCAGTGTGCTTATATAGAACTAAGGGGGAGATGAGGGCTTAGATAAATGGCAGGCAACCCATTTATTGGCAAGTTCTTTCAGATATCAGCTCCAGAGCCCAGGAATTAGTTCTCATTGGGGCTAAGGTTCCCCGCCAGTGAGATTTGAAATTGGCACCGGCGGGAGAGTTCACACGGGCGGGAACTTTTCGCGCCACTGCAGAAAAGAAGAAGGTAGGAAGAAGAGGTGCTTAGGCGCCATGTTGGGGTTTTTTCTCTGGGGTATGGCTGCCATTTATACTTTTCCCAACATTCCTCCCTTTGTGTTTTCTTAGGAAGTGGGGCGTCGTTGGTCAGATCCCACCGCTTCCTGCTGTGTAGGGGCGCTGTGGGGCCTAGAAAGGAAAGTGGAGGAATGCTCGGGGGGCAGGTCTGGGGATATCATGGCAGCCAGAAATAAAACCCAGTGGCTATAGACAGCTACTTCCATAGGGGTGAAGTCTGTGAAAGTTCCCTGAAGCCACAAGTTGTCGATGGCATGGAACCAGTCCTGGATGGAGGAGATTGTTGGTATCAGCCACTGGTCCTGTAACAGAGACTCTAGGAAATACTGGAAGCGTTGCCTGGACATGGCGTTACCAGCACCTGAAGAACATCAGAGCGAATAAAAACAGAATGAAGATAAAAATTAAAGCAAAGGTCAATTTTTGGCAGAAGTTCCATGTTGGGGGACTGACAGAGAAGAGGCCAAGGGCCATGAGGAAGCTTAGAAGGACATAAAGACTCATGAATCCAGGATGGCAGATTAAGAGGTTCTCCGAGCTCGTTGTCTCCCGCTGTCTGATGTCCGTTGCATTCCATCATGCCTGGTAGTGAGCTTCAGCACTGAGTGAACTGTTCTCTTGGAGATGTTGGGGGTTCATCGGTCATCAGAGGCTGGTAGTGCCTAAGCGGAAGCTGGTTGAAAGTTTGATTAGAAATTTTCTGCAATCGGGTTTGAAGGAACTTCATTATACAGGGCAAGAGAGCACAAAAAAGGAGCATCCCAATAAGGGGCCCCAAGATAGGTAGTAAGTACGTGGCAAGAGAGGATTGGAAGAACCCCGTTATGGGATTAGAGGAGGTGGGTTTGAGCAGTTGGGTCGATAATTCCTGCAATTTAACAACATTTTTTTCTATTAGCCCAGACTCATTAACATAGTAGCAACATTCCTCTCTGAGGAACAGGCATGTACCCCCTTTTTCTGCAGTGAGAAGATCAATCGCCCTTCAGTTTTGTAAAGCCACTTGTGCCAATGAAGTAACTTGCCGCTGCAAGGAGCCCAGAGACTCAGCAGTGGTATCGAGTGCTTCCTGCAGCTTTTGTTGCAGGTCATTGGATGCCCATAGAGCATGACCTATAGCTCCACCAGAGAGTCCGAGACTCACCACTGAGGTTGTTAAAGTGAGGCCTACCAGAACCCGCAGAAAGACTGCCCTACGGGTGCGGGAAGGTAGGGCCAGCTGCCAGAATTCGGTGGGAGTATACAAAGACAGCTGAGGAACTACAGTAACCAAGAAACAGGTGCCAGAGACATTGATCGTTGAGGTACTTAAAGACCCATTACACTAGAGGAAATGTCCAGGTTGCATAAACGCAGGGCTCGATGGGGTGCTATAGCTCAAGGAACAAATGGGTAAAGGATTCATTGTTGGCAGGTGGAAACAGATGAAAGGAAATGAAGTATTGGTGGAATAACTTTCCCACAGTGGGATACATGTCACATGTAGGGGTTGTCCTTTCTTAGAGAAATTGTAGGTTTTTGCTGAAAAATTTCCTGCCGCTAATGGGACCGCTGCTAGAAGTGGACGACTAAGTGAAGCACAGAGAAAGCACTGAGAAGTAGGCACAGAAAGAGAGGTGGAGTTTAATAATCGAAGAGTTTGGTGTAGCAAATTGAGCCATGTGGGAGGGGGGCCTAAGGGGGTTGAAGGCTCTGAATCCTCTTTGGATGGGCTATGGATAAGATCTCGAAGTTTTGATTCTGACTCCTTGATGTGTTCGACTACCGGGATGGTTGCCTTAGGTGGCGTAATCAGGGTGCAGCCAACAGTCATCCACCCTGTGGGTCTGGCTGAGGTTGTCCGAGCATAGACAGCAAACTCAACATAGTCCCAACGTTTGGCCTTGGGGTCAGGTATATCTAAAGTATACCATCCATTGTTATCAGATGAAGAGCCTTTATGCCACTTTAGGTAACTAGAAGTCCACCCTTCAGGGTAACCAAGTGAGTGGTAAGAATAGCTACCACATTCATCATGGAACCTGCATGACCAATAGGGGCACCCATTATATATCTCAGGCCACCAATGACAATAGTCTTTGGTTTGATCAAAAAGGAAGCAAATGAAAGGCCAGTTCCAGCTACCAGGGACGAAGGTCCTTGAAGGTGACAATTTTAGGGAAATAGAGGTGCAGTTGTGGATGAAGCAAGTAGTTGCATCCACTGCGCGGACCTTCTGCATGCCATGTTCTGAGTATTGTTCCCGAAGAGTGAATAAATACATGGTAGGAGAGGAGGGTAAAGACCAGTCCCGACAGAGCACAGAAAATAAGCAGAGCACAAAAAACAAGCAGAGAGAGAAGACTAGGGTGTTGGGAGAGCTCATTGTGCCTTCTTTAAGAGGAATTGGGCTGCGGGGCACACCATGTGAGCCGCAACTTAAAGGGGTGAGATGGGTGTGGAGAGCAGGAGTAAAGGGGAGGTTCAGGAGGTGATTCTTGGAGTTCCTCTGGGGAGGTCCTGTCATCAGCAGGTGGGGCCTCCTGGTGATATGGCTTCAATCTAGAAATGTGAATCCAGGGAGTGAGACGGTTGTCTGGTAAGGAGAGTTTGGCGGCCGTGGGGGTACAGAGAATGACAGGATAGGGGCCTTCCCATTTTGGGGCAAGAGGCCCTTTCTCCTCTGGGGTATTATAATAGACTAGACTCCCAGGTGTTAAGGGAGGAGTGTTTGGAGAGGAGACTGGGTCCGGAAGAAGCCAGTCCTGATATTTCCAGAGTTCCGAGCAGAGATGAAACAAGAGAGGCAAAGACAAATCTCGGGTGAGAGGTCCTTGTGAAACGACAAACCCAGGGGGTATAAGAGGTCTTCCATACATTATCTCAAAGGGAGACAGTAAAGATGGTTTCTTAGGGAGAGCTCTGATTCGAAGCAAAGCCAAGGGAAGGAGTTTGACCCAGTCTAAGTTTAATTCCATTGTCAATTTGGTAAGGACTTCCTTTAGAGTACGATTTACCCTTTCCACTTTCCCTGAAGCCTGGGGGTGATATGGACAGTGGAAATGCCACTTGAAGGAGGGGGCTTGAGAGACCTTTTGTGTGATCCTAGAAATAAACTCAGGGCCATTGTCAGATTGTAAGGAAGTGGGCATACCAAACCTGGGGATGATGTCTGTCAGTAAGATTGAAGCTACAGTGGAAGCCTTTTTATTGGAAGTGGGAAATGCCTCAACCCAACCAGAGAAAGTGTCCACAAAGACAAGGAGGTATTTAGTGCGCCGTACTGTGGGCATGTTGGTGAAGTCTAACTGCCAGTCAGCAGCGGGAATGTGTCCCTGGGCTTGGTGGGAAGGGAAAGGTTTGGGCCTTAAAGGAGTATGAGGGTTGGTCCGCTGACAGATCTGACAATTAGAGGCTATATTTTGGAGCATGGCTTTGTCAGAGGGGGTGAGGGAGAAGAAGCTCTGTAAAAAGAGGGTTAAAGACTGAGAATTGGAATGGAATACAGTATGAAGGAACTTGAAAAGATCCTTGTTCTTACTGGAAGAAGTAGGGGCTTCAGATGAGCTGTCTAAGGTGGCCATTATATGTCCCCCAGGGGGGCCATAATTGGAAGTGGTAGCAGCCATTCGTGCCGCCTGGTCAGCTTTGGCATTGCCCTCAGTGATGAGAGAGCCGTCCTTCTGATGGGACCTACAATGGACAACTCCCAACTGGGTGGGTAAGTGGGAGGCCTCTATCAGATTGGTTATAAGAGCCAAATTAGTGATCGCATTACCTTTGGTGGTAAGTAGGCCTTGCTCCTTCCATATTGCAGCATGGGATAATAAGATATGGAAGACATATTTTGAGTCAGTATAAAGG